TGCACTTGGTATTCTCAATTACCATTATTGTAAAATATGTTAGTGATATTATCACTGTATTTTCAGTTCTAATTTCTAATATGTACACAGTTTTAGAAGTTCCAGCTATATTGTAGTGTTACTCATGGTAATCTAAGGTATTGGAAAAGTTCAGTCTACTATGATTTATGTAGAAGGTTTGTACCTGAGATTGGAATGGTCTGATGGATATCCAAAAACAGGCTGCTACAGTGATACTATCCCAAGTTATTTTTGAAAACAAGTTAGAGACATTAAAAGGAAAGTTAAATCTAATATCAAAGCTATTTGGAGGAAAATAGAGTTTAGCAGCTACTAGTTTAAAGATATGCTGCAATAAAATTTTGCACGTAGAAGTTTTTTTGGTGGCCTACTACCTTTTACTGTGGAAAACTGTAGCTGAAAGGCCAAGAACAGAGAAAGACTGGGAAGATCTGGGTGGGGAGACAAACACACAGCAGGGACAGGGCCCTCATAATAGTCTGTGTTAATGACACCCAGATTAGCAGGTCAGCAAGACCCCAGCACATCTAGGCCAGTTTCACAGGACAGAGACATCTGGAGACAAACCAGTGATGGCACCTGGTGACTCACAGAGGTAAGACAAGACAGAGAAGCAGCACCAAAAGGGTACAAAAAGGCATAACCAGAACCTCTGCATGGCTACCAATCTAAGAAGAACACAAAAGATGCCAGAAAGAGTTCATAGCTGGTGTCCCTGGACCCCTGCACCATCACATATCTGGTCAGAAGTGTCACGGTGCCTGGCTGGCAGATGGATGGCTTGAAAATACCTTCTGGTGAGTGAGAGTGTCAGTTTGTGAGAGCGCAAGTAAAACCTGCTTTATTTCAGTTTCTATTTTAAATAAAATCACACTCCTTTTCAATTAGGTCACTCATTGATACAGTGTTGCAACAGTATTTCCTAGACTCCTAGGTCAGCAGATCAATTTGGGAAGACTAGACCAGCTTTTGAGTTCAGAGTCTGTGTCACAGAGCTATTAAGTAGCATGCAAATTTTTATCTAAGTAAAAATGTTCAAATAATGAGAACAAGAAGAACATTGTATTTCCTGAGTTTTTATGAAGAAACTTAAAGTATAGCTAGCTAAAAAGAATGTAAAAGAAGATATTTTTGTCCACAAGACACATCTGTCCATGCCATTTGCTCCTACCATTAAGTTTCTTCTGATTCTTCAGGTCACAATTAAGTAAAGGAGGCATAAACCAAACAGCTGTATACATGTATGGTTTTCAGTGCTTCTATTTACTACAAGAACTTAATATCATCAGTGTCACGTTAATGCAATTCCTAATTTGGAATACTAATCATCTTAAAATCATGACAGAAAGTTCATTTTTGTTTAGGATTTCAGAATTTATATTTAGGATTTTAAAATTTATATCTAATTTGTATATTATTTATATCATGATCTATATTAAACATATATACCACTATATGTAGTTACTTCGTAATTATATTATTTATATTTATTAGATAAATATCATATTAAGAACACATCCTTTGAAAACTGACCATTTGTAGACAGATCAGACAGATAATGGAACAGATCCAAAATTTTATGACTTCTGAGAATATCTGTCTGCATTGCCTCATGAATTCTTTTGAGCATCTAAATCAAGGTTTCAAATCTACAACCCACATATGAAAAAGTAAGCTTAGGGAAAAAAAAAATCATAAGAAGCATATGCAACTACTTGTATTAAACTGGGCTGAAAAAAATTCACATGTAACACAGGGATCAACTATTAATTTATGTTTTTCAAACGAGGTAGAATCTTAGCAAAATTTCATTTCACTCATTATGATCAACATATTTGAACTTTCCATCAGATGTCACCAAAAGGGCACTGTGACTTCATTGTTTGCTATCCAATATTCAAGTGACCTTTTGAGTTATGTTCATGAAATTTAATACACTCGTTTCTCCTGATTACATGGGAAAATAATGTGAAATTTGACATTTCAGCTGCAAGGTCAGCCAAAGAGCAGCCTAACAATTCACAAAAACTGACTATTTTTCCCCACTCTAGACAGAAGCCCTCTGGTTGACACTACTGAAAATACTGGATGTCACCTATTCCCTGGCAGTGCCAGCAAACATTGCATTCAGTCCCTCCACGAAGAGGTAAGATTCAAGTGCCAGAAACGTGCAGAGTATGCACAGCTGTACCTGTCCTTCCCCATGTATAATTTTCCTGCT